CCCAAAATAAACTTTTTTTGATTGGGTCATTTATTTTTCTGGAATTGAGCTTCAGGAGTTGCTTGTATATTTTTGAGATTAATCCTTTGTCTGTTGCTTCGTTTGCTATTATTTTCTCCCATTCTGAGGGCTGTCTTTTCACCTTGCTTATAGTTTCCTTTGTTGTGCAAAAGCTTCTAAGTTTCATTAGGTCCCATTTGTTTATTTTTGCTTTTATTTCCGATATTCTGGGAGGTGGGTCATAGAGGATCCTGCTGTGATTTATGTCGGAGAGTGTTTTGCTTATGTTCTCCTCTAGCATACACAGATTTTATTTTTAACAAAAAATATTTATGATGAGAAGTGTTAAAATATATTTTAACAAGCTCACCAAAATACATATGCAAATGGATATTTTTCCCTCCAAACTGTTACTTTTAGAGCAGTGCTTTTCAACTGAAGATGATCTAGTAAGCAAATGCCAAGTATACTACTTGTAACAATACTCCCATCTCCACCCCCAGCAAGGAATTGTCAGTAGTGCCAAGGCTGGAAAATAAATCACGCCTTAGAGAATATATCATGTTCCAGGGTGTGACCATTACTAAAATATTCTGGAAAGTATTCTTTCAGAATTACCTTGTTTGAATGTATTCATTAGTGGCAAATTATCATCCCTTGTGAGGTATATTTTATTTTAGACCAAGTCTCATGACTCATGGGGACAATATAGTTCATTCATGGAATTCAGCAAAACACTCAGGCAGATATTCACAGACACATGAACATGCACAGAAAATTCACTGATTGTTTCTAGTTCAGAATTTGTTAGAAAACGAAAGGTTTAAAGTTTTTAGGTCATATTCGAAGATATTTATTTATTGAAATAAATGAAGTAATAAAATACAGTTTTTTATTCATTTTTTCATTTATATTTTATATTGGAGTATAGATGATTAACAATTTGGTGTTAGTTTCAGGTGTATAGCACAGTGATTCAGTTACACACATACATTTATCTATTCTTTTTCAAGTTCTTTTCCCATTTAGGGTGTTATATAATATGGATCTCGGTTGCATGTGCTATATAGTAGGTATTTGTTGGTGGTGGTTGTTACATTGCTTAGTTGTTTCCAGTTCTTTGCAACCCCATGGACTGCAGCACGCCAGGCTTCCCTGTCCTTCACAATCTCCTGGAGCTTGATCAAACTCCTGTCCATTGATCGGTGATGCCATCCAACCATCTTATCCTCTCTCATCCCTTTCTTCTCCTGCCTTCAATCTTTCCAGCATCAAGGTCTTTTCTAATGAGTCACTTCTTTGCATCAGGTGACCAAAATACTGGAGCTTCAGCTTCAGCATCAGTCCTTCCAATGAATATTCAGGATTGATTTCCTTTAGGATTGACTGTCTTGATCTCCTTGCTTTCCAAGGGACTCTCAAGAGCCTTCTCCAACACCATAGTTCAAAAACATCAATTCGTCAGTGCACAGCCTTCTTTATGGTCCAACTCACATCCATACATGACTACTGGAAAACCATACCTTTGACTAGACAGGCCTTTGTCAGCAAAGGAATGTCTCTCCTTTGTAAATATGCTGTCTAGATTGGTCATATTTCTTCCATGAAGCAAGCGTCTTTTTAATTTCATGACTGCATTCAACATCTTCAGTGATTTGGGAGCCTCCCCCAAAAATAAAGTCTGTCACTGTTTCCATTGTTTCCCCATCTATTTGCCATGAAGTGATGGGACCTGAATGTTGAGTTTGAGCCAGCTTTTTCATTCTCTTTCACTTTCATCAAGAGGCTCTTAGATCCTCTTCACTTTCTTCCATGAGGGTGATGTCATCTGCATATCTCAGGTTACTAATATTTCTCCTGGCAATCTTGATTCCAGCTTATGCTTCATCCAGCCCGGTATTTTGCTTGACATGCTCTGCATAGAAGTTAAATAAGCAGGGTGACAATATACAGCCTTGATGTACTCCTTTCCCCATTTGGAACCCCTGCATTGTTCCATGTCCAGTTCTAACTGCTTCTCCTTGACCTGCATATAGGTTTCTCAGAAGGCAGGTAAGGTGGTCTAGTATTCCCATCTCTTGAAGAATTTTCTAAAGTTGGTTGTGATCTACACAGTGAAAGGCTTTAGCATAGTCATTGAAGCAGAGGTAGATGTATTTCTGGAACTCTCTGCTTTTTCAATGATTCAGCAGATGTTGGTAATTTGATCTCTGGTTCATCTGGCTTTTCTAAATCCAGCTTGTACATCTGGTAATTCTCTACTAATAAAGCCTGGCTTCAAGAATTTTGAGCATTACTTTGCTTGCGTGTGAGATAAGTGCAACTGTGCAGTAGTTGAACATTGTTTGGCATTGCCTTTCTTTGGGATTGGAATGAAAACTGACCTTTTTCCAGTCCTGTAGCCACTGCTGAGTTTTCCAAATTTGCTGGCATATTGAGTGCAGCACATTAACAGCATCATCTTTGAGGATTTGAAATAGCTCAACTGGAATTGCATCACCTACGCTAGCTTTGTTTATCATGATGCTTCCTAAGGGATCCTAACCATTTGTTGGTTATCTGTTTTAAATATAGCTATGTATATATAGACTTCACAACCTTAACTGTCACCTAACTGCCAGCTGGGGAGGAGAGAATCAAGGGAGACTTTCATTGTAAATGTTCTTCTTCAACTCAAAATTTAAAAAGAAGGATCCTCAAAAAAAAAAAGAAACAGACAGTATAAACTCTCAGGCCCATCCACCCTGAAAAAAAAAAAAAAAAAGGTTAACTGAAGAACATAGTAGCTAACTCTGTTCATTTTTTTCCTGGATATATTCCTTTTATTTAAGTTGATGTTTTTGTCTTCAAACATTTCTAGTCAAATTTGACCCTTACTAGACAGAAATTCTTTTTGATATTCAATATGGTATGGATTTATCTTCTATATTCAACTCGTCTAGGTTTACAGTAGTTTTAAAATTATAAAACCCTTGAAAACCAAGGCTTTTTGAAACATGGCTATTTGCAAATCCTGTTCTGAAATAATGTGAAACTATTTACACTTTTAATTTACCCACGTACTGTGAATATTCACACCCTTCATCACAAAACTATTGTTGTGTTTTATTTCAGGGGGCTAAGTAACAGATATATTACTTTTTGCCTTTATAAAATCTGAAAAGTTTCAAATTTCATATTAGTATGTGTGACACCAACACGAATTGTAATAGTAAGTGCTTTTATTTGAAATAATCTCTTTGTCTTTTTTTTTTTTTTCAAAAATTACTATAGTTTTTCATAATGAGGTATTGCCTCATACTGGTTAGAATGGCCATGATTTAAAAGTCTGCATATAATAAATGCTGGAGAGTGTATGAAGAAAGGGAACCATCTTATACTGTTGGGGAAATGTAAATTGGTACATCTGCTATGGATAACAGTATGCAGGTTCCTGAAAAAACTTAAAGACTTATCATATGACCCAGAAATCATACTCCTTGGCTTATATACAGAGAAAACTAATTTGAGAAGATGCATGCACCCCAGTGTTCATAGCAGCACTATTTACAATAGCTAAAACTTGGAAGCAACCTAAATATCTGTTGACATGAATAAATAAATGTGCTATGTACACACACACACACAATGGGATGCTATTCAGCCATAAAAAGAACAAATTAATGCCATTTGTAGCAACATGGATGGACCTAGAGATTGTCACAGTAAGTGAAGTCAGTCAGAGAAGGACAGATACCACATGATATCGCTTATATGTGGAATCTGTTCATGATACAGATAAACTTATTAGCAAAACAGAAGTAGACTCACAGATATAGAAACTAAACTTATAGTTACTGCAGGGAACAGGAGGAGGCCTCAATTTAGAATTTGGGATTAACAGATAGGGCTTCTTGGGTGGCTCAGTGGTAGAGTATCTGCCTGCCAATTCAGGAGACATGAGTTCAATTCCTGGGTCAGGAACATCCTCTGGAGAAGGAAATGGCAACCCACTCCAGTATTCTTGCCTGGGAAATCCCATGGACAGAGGAGCCTGGTGGGCTACAGTCCAGGGGGTCACAAAAGAATCAGACCCAACTTAAGGATGTGTGTGTGTGTGTGTGTGTGTGTGTGTGTATAAAATTGGGAAAAACTAAACCAAAACATGTATGTACAACAAAGTGAAGGGTCTTCAAGAATAGCAAAATGGGGGAAATACTATTGAGAAATACCACAGCATTTTCTAATTGATTGCCTGTTCAAAGAAAGATACTACCTGTGTAGACAAAAGGAAGTTAGAGTTTGTTTCCAATCTATGAAATGCTGTCTTAGCACAAAATATTTCTTAGTTTTTGAGAAGTGTTATATTTCTTCTTCAGAATTTTAGCCTTCTTTCTCTTTACCTGAACATTTGAAATCTCTTAGGGTCCTTGATTACTTTTTCAGTGAAATATGTAGTACCACTTTTCTCCCTAGATTTCTCATTTCAAATATTAGGACACAGAGTGAAATTTTTACCTCTCATTCATGGTGTCCAGTTCTCAACATCTTAACCTGGCAGGAGGACTAAACTAGCTGTAAATCTTACCACCCAGACCACGCTTGATTATTGTGTGATGGGAAAGCTAAATGTGAATAAAACAGCCTAGAACATTAGGGTGTTCTTGGAAGAATAAATACGAAGTTGGAAGTCTTATGTGAATAGTGCAAAGTAAAGGAAGGCAATCAATCATGTAAACATCAAATGAAAGGTTGGTAAGGAAGCCATTGGAGTCTTTTAGGCTCTCCCTGCAATAAATGGCTTACTCCTTTTTTTTTTCCCTTTCCCTCAGTTTGGAAAAGTGAATTCTGTGGAATCTCTTCACAGAACCCAAGAGATTCTGTAAGTTCTTATTCCTGTTTCAAGATATGCTTTGAACAGAATAAGTTCAACCCATTGAACGTTTTTGGTTTATATTAAATGGACACAAACATATCATAGCACATACTTCCCTGACTCTTTCTCATCCTCCCACAAACAGGAAACAGTTAAGGCAGCAATAATAGAAGAGCAGAAACGAAGTGAAAAGGCTGTGGAAGAGGCAGTGAAGAGAACAAGAGATGAACTGATAGAGTATGTAAAGGAACAGAAAAGGGTACGTATCCCCTGGAGGGCTTTAATTTGTTCTTCCATAAACTGAAGCATTGACTTCCATACAATGACATGAAATTATAAAGTATTTAAAATATCCTTTTTCATCTTCTAGGAATCTTCATCTAATATTTTTTTCTGGTATAAGTATGTATTCTAATAGTTACATCTGTAAACATAAATTCCATTTGTTAACAAAAAAAGCACTGAATAATTTCCTGCTGGATTCCCAGAAATGACCTATTTTCAATTTGACTTTACACTTAAAAAGAAAGTAGACAGGTATAGATTTTTTAAGTTTTTGCCATAAGTTTGTTATTTCTTGTGTAATGGTTGTCGAAATTTGTATGTACTCTTTAGGCCTTTGGACTAGGTTAACACCACTGTGGTTCTAATAGATTTTATTACAGTCATCAAATTAGGGCTCTTCTGCCATAGTTCCATTTTGAAAACAAAATTCAGAATATGCTTGTCAGAATTTATAATGCATATTGAAGCTTTACAAAATAAATGTCATTTTGGTACAGTGTGGTTTTATTAATTTGTAAGTCTGAGCAGTGGCTGAAAATAATGTATTTAATAATAGTTTAATTTGTAGACTTTTCAACAAATCTTTAATTTTTTTAGTATCCAGGATGAGAAATACTTAGGATGAGTTGTTTAATGGTAATCTCTGTAATAAGCATGTTAAATTACAGTATATTATATAATAAATTATATGGTGAATTCTCACACACTATTTTATGTCTTATTTATGTGTTTAGTATAACATAAAGTATTAAAAGACTATATATTACACAATATATGGTATTATATAACAATAAAACTATAAATAAAGCATAAAACATAGAAATAAAAGGTTACTCTTCAATTGGCAGTTAAATAGAAGAGTAATGACACTCCTAGGAGTTTCATAAGAACTCATGATACCACTTTAGTTCCATACTCTTAATTCAAAATCAATTTTGGTATGTTATAAAGAAAATTCTTACTCCTCAATAGTTACCATTAGGTTTCAACAAAGAGTTTGTCAGCAGAGAAAAAAAAAAAAATGCTAAGTAAGCTTTCTAGATTACTTAATGACTCACAGAAGCATTTCATGTGGGATTAAATCTCTGTGCAACTTGTCTCAAGATGTTTTTAAAAGTAGTATAAGCCCCCCAAAATTTCTAATAGATACATAACCTTCAGAAGAGTGACTTAGCTGCTAAAGAATCCGCCTGCAATGCGGGAGACCTAGGTTCGATTTCTGGGTTGGGTAGATCCCCTGGAAAAGGGAAAGGCTACCCACTCCAGTATTCTGGCCTGGATCCAGTGGATGTTAGCAATTTGATCCCTAGTTCCTCTGCTTTTTCTAAATCCAACTTGAACCTATGAAAGCTCTCGGTTCACATACTGTTGAAGCCTAGCTTGGGGAATTTTGAGTATTACTTTGCTTGCATGTGAGATGAATGCAGTTGTGTGGTAGTTGAACATTGTTTTGCATTGCCTTTCTTTGGGACTGGAATGAAAACTGACCTTTTCTGTAGCCATTGCTGAGTTTTCCAAATTTGCTGACATATTGAATGCAGCATTTTCACAGCATCATCTTTGAGGTTTTGAAATAGCTCAGTTGGATTGCCATCACCTCCACTAGCTGTGTTCATAGTGATACTTCCTAAGACCCACTTGACTTTACATTCCAGGATGTCTGGCTCTAGGTGAGTGATCACACCATGGTGATTATCTGGGTCATAAAGATCTTCTTTGTATAGTTCTTCCTCATGTTCTTGCCACCTCTTCTTAATATCTTCAGCTTCTGTTAGACCCATACCATTTATGTCCTTTATTGTGCCCATCTTTGCATGAGAAGTTCCCTCAGTATCTCTGATTTTCTTGAAGAGATCTCTAGTCTTTCCCATTCTATTGTTTTCCTCCTTTTCTTTGCACTGATCACTGAGGAAAGCTCTTTAATCTCTCCTTGCTATTCTTTGGGACTCTGCATTCAGATGGGTATATCTTTCCTTTTTTCCTTTGCCTTTAGCCTAAAAGATTAGTATCTCTTTATGTTAGATAAACTAGTTACACCTTTAGAAGTGTTCATTAAATCACAACAGTCATGACAATATTAGATTCTATTTGCTCCAAAGTTCTACTTCTCTATCCTTCTTCCCTTATATGGTAAGAACAATAAATTTAATACAAAACAACTGCCAGTTAATACATGTAATGAAATAGAACAGAGTATGGAATTAGTATATATGTGCATTATTAAAAAATAAGAAAGACCTAGTTACATTATTTTTTATTAATTAAAAATGTGTTTTTTAGATTACTGTTTAGTATTCTATTTCCTCTGACATTTATAACATGATTCTAATAGTTTATTCAACTCTTGTTACTAGATTCATAGATGATAAAAACTAATTTAATTAATATATTAATAGGAAGTTTATTACTTTCACTTCGGGCCTTGAGAATTTTTTGAATAACGCACATTGTTTAATACTTTTAACATTTGAATGTTTCCACCTTTCCAAATAGAAAAGCTGTAAAAAAGGAAAGTGGATAGAATATCTAAAATTAAAATACCCACTATGAGATTTCTTATATATATAACTTTTTAAAATTTAAGATTCTCTATACTCTGATTCTTTTTGAAATGGATTTCAGTGTTTCAAGTTAATTTTTATGAATTTTGGAGGCTTGGAAACTTTTCACATGCACACAAAAAAGACATCTTTTAGCTTATAAAGTAATACTGAGAAGAAACAAAAGGTTTTTGTAGCAAATTCATAATCTTTTTGTCTGTTTCCAAAAGACTAAATTAGAGCAGCTCATCTCTCCTTCTTCCTTTGTAAGATGAATTTCTTTTTGCATCAGAGAAGAACACTTTTCCAGAACAAAAATTTTCCTTTCTCCTCTCCAGCTTTTTTAGCTAGAGTCAACTTGAGATTTTCAACATTAGACACCTCAAAAGCCCTGTAGACCTTGATTCCAACTAGGCTTACATTCCAGTCTGTGAAGTCATTGTCCCCCCTTGAAGTTTTCCAAAATCTTTGAAAGAAGAAGTCTAAACCCGTGTTAGTTTCTGTCTTTATATGTCTTTTGTCCTAACCAGTCTTTAACTTTTTTTAAAACTGTGGTATAATAATCTTCAACATACGTTGTTAAGCAAAAGCCACAGTTTGAATCATTGTGTATAGGAGTGGCCTTTTTTTCTGTGATGCAGAGTATGAAATGCAGTTTACATTGTGACCCAGTTCTCAGTGAATCTATAAACAAAAATAAAAATTAGGAAAAAAATTTTACAAGACAGTACCTACCCTTGCTATGAACAGTGTACTGTGGCATTTTCTATTCTTTTTTTGTTTTTTACAATTATTTTTAAGTAGATAAATTAAGATTTTTAGTTGGAGTTTCAGTCTCAAAACTTAATAAAGTGAATAGACAGAAAAGTAGGAGGATATAGTAGACCTGAAAAGCACTATGAACCAATTCAACATAATTAAGATTTATACAATTTTCACACAACAGCAGGATACAAATTCTACTCAAGTTCTGTAGAGTATAAACCAGGACACAGTGGAACATATCCAGGGACTTTAAAACAAGGTACAAAAATTTCGTGGTCTAAAGGTATTGAAGTCATACACAGTCTATTCTGTGGGATTATGTTAGAAATCAATATCAAAAGACAGTTAAAAATAACTACATATTTTCATGTGCAATGTGATATTTACCAAGAGAGATCTTTGACTTATCCTTTAAGTCTCAATAAAGTTAAAAGTTCAGTGTTTTAAAAGAGAAACAGAATGAAATATCTGAAATGATAATCTTTTCAAATAGCTTATAATTTACCCTACAATATTAAGTGCAGTAGAATTACAAATCACTATAGAGGATAATATTCCTTTTTCTGGGTATCTGGACTCAACAAGTTTTTAATCAGTGATCCAGCCCTTTTGAGTATTACAGTTATACTCAGAATTAGAATTATACTAGGATTAAGTTAAAATTGAGAAAATGTTTTACTTTTGAATGTCATTTACCAGGGTTTTTTGTTATCAAAAGAGATGTCACTAAACTTTATAAATTACTCACCTTCATCTGATCTAAACATCTTAGATGTTTAAAACATCTAAACATCTTAGATGGATGAAGGGATTACCTATACCTATACTACCTATGTACTAACTATGTGAATCAAAATTTACACTGAAATTACACCCTGAATTATTTACTAAGTTGAATACATAATACTTATACTGTTAGTCCAATTCATAATAATAATCAAAAGTTTGTGTGTAATCAAACTATTCAAAGAAAGCTTTTAATATGATCAACCAGAAAAATAATACAAATTAATAATGATTCTGTCTCAGTGACTATCTTGTAAGCACTTTTTTGTATTTTAAAAGATAGTACTAAAGAATCCTCTATAAATTCTATCTTGTTAAACTGAGAAAATTGTTATATTGAGTTCACAAATACAGTATGAAATTGAAAAGCCGAAGTTTTGCAATCTCACTTATAAATTTTTTCATATTAACTGGTAGAAGTTGTCTAAATTTTTAATGAATTTAGAAATTTTCATTATAATTTATATAATAGAGAGGGAGAAGTAAACAAGAAAACCTGAAAAGATTTTAACATACATTCAATTTATCTGGAAATCAGCTAGGTATCCCTAAGTGTAGTGATTTATAACAGCCATACTATACTTTATTAAAATTGTTTTTTTTTTATTTTAAACTCTCTTGAATCATTACAAATTCTGAATTAAGGGATAGCAGACTAGAGCCCATGGGTCAAATTTGATTTTCTGCCTGTTTTTATAAAGTTTTATTGAAACACACAACCACATCCATTCACTTATGTGTTCATGCTGCAACCACAGAGTTGAGTAGTTCAGAGAGATCATGGGGCCCACATAACCTAAAATATTTACTGTCTGGCCCTTTACAGAAAAACATTTGTCAACTCCTGTTCTAGGCTATCAAAATAATCTTGATGAGAAAATTT